CCTCGTCCAGCACCAGGTGCTGCACTCTGGGAGGGGGAGAAAGGGAGAAGGAGGGGGAGGGGGAAGCGGGAGATTGGTTTGTGTGGGGTGGTGAGTGGAGGGTCGATCTTCTCCACGAATCCCATCTCAAAGAGCTTGTCCGCCTCGTCTAGAACTAGGTGTTGCACTCTGCAGGTGAGGGAGTGCATGTGGAAGGGCAGGATGGAGGGGCGAAGACAGGGAGTGAGGGTCAGGTGAGGGCAAGGGTGGGCAGGGAGCAGGCCGCCACGACCCTCACTCAAAGAGGGTCTCAACGAATCCCATCTCAAACAGCTTGTCCGCCTCGTCTAGCACCAGATGCTGCACTCTGTGGGAAGGGGAGAAAAGGGGGGGAAAGGGGGCGGAGCGGAAATGGTTTGTATGGGTTGGTGAGTGGAGGGTCGATCTGCTCCACGAATCCCATCTCAAACAGCTTGTCCGCCTCCTCGTCCAGCACCAGATGCTGCACTCCGGGAGAGTCCGCATGTGGGAGGAGCCGCGGAGGGAAGGGGTGGAAACAGCGGGATGCAGCAGAGGGGAAAGGGGAAGGGACGGGGATCATGCAGGGTGGTACGTGGAAGCTGGAAAAGGAAGAAAAAGGGGTTATCTAAATTCCGACGTTCTCCTGATGAGCGACAATAACACAAGACAGCTCACACACACTCACCGGCTCAGGTCCACTTTATTTCCAGCCACCAGGTGGGCTAGCCGGAGGGGAGGGGAGATGGGCACATCGCATGCCGCCCCTTTGAGCTCCACACAGCCTGCAGTGGCTTTGGTCAGCAGCTGCGCTCTGTGCTTCGTGCTCTCAACTCACCATGACAAGCGCCAGCCAGCCACAACTCACCGGCTCAAATCGACCTTCTTCTCAGCAACCAGGTGCGCCAGCCTCAGAGGAGTGGAGATGAGCAAGTCACAGGCCGCCCCTTTCAGCTCCACACAGCCTGCAGTGGCTTTCGTCAGCAGCCGCGCCCTCAGCTTCGTGCCCGCTGCCAGCTGCTTCAGTGCCCGCGATATCTGCAGTGCTAGCTCACGTGTCGGTACGAGAATTACTGCTCTCATGGCTTCAGGGGAGTGGGACTGGCGGTGGGCATAGGCGGGGGGGCGGAGGGGGGGGGGGAACAGGAAGGAGAAGTATCCAGTGAGGCTCAAAGTCTCTGCATGACCAGCTCACGTGTCGTGTGGGATTGGCATGAGGATCACTACTCTGATGGTTTCAGGGGAGTGCGACTGGCGGAGGGATGGGGTGGGGGTGAGGGGTGCAGGGAATGGGAAACCTAGAAAGCAACCCACTTGCGCCCACAAGTGGAGCCAAGCTTACCTTGAGAGCCATGACAATGGGCAGAAGAAAGGCAACGGTCTTGCCGGACCCCGTGGGCGCACAGGCGAAGCACTCTCGCCCCTGCAGCAGCAGTGGCACCGCCTGCCTCTGAATGGCCGTGGGGTGTTCGAACCCCATCTCCTGCAGATTGCGCAATATGCGCCGCCGACAGTTGTACCTGTTGGGTGGGATGGGATGGGGTGGGGTGGGATGGGACGGGGTGGGGTGGGTGGGACGGGATGGGATGGGGTGGGATGGGGTGGGATGGGATGGGGTGGGGTGGGATGGGATGGGATGGGGTGGGAAGGGGTGGGATGGGGGTGGGATGGCGTGGGATGGGATGGGATGGGATGGGATGGGATGGGATGGGATGGGATGGGATGGGATGGGATGGGATGGGATGGGGTGGGGTGGGATGGGATGGGATGGGGTGGGGTGGGGTGGGATGGGATGGGATGGGATGGGATGGGATGGCTGGAATGGTGAGAGATGGGTTTTGAGACATGACGGGCAACAACAATAACAGCAGCATGGCCTAATCAGAGTCACAACCCCACTCACTCACTCCTCTAACCGCCACCCACTCACTAGTCCGCGCCCACACACTTTGCCCGCCGCCCACTCACTTGTCGGCCAGTTCTTGGAAGGACTCGAGAGGAGCCGTCACCAGGTGGCTGGACACGTGGATGCGATGGCGCTTGCGGAGCACTGCTGCATGCTGCCACGTGGCAACCACAGGGGTAAGGGAGGAGAAGGGAAGCCAGGGAAGGGGTTTAGGTGGGGGATGGTTGGGATGGGGGGGTAAAGGGGGTGGGGGGGGAGAGAAAGTGAAGGAAAAGAAGAACGTGAATCTTGGGATTGAGCATGAACATTTCGCTCATAGTTCTTCCAAAAGTAAATCACGAAAGCCATGCGAAGAGATTGAGACACCAAACCTCTCAGAGAAAACGCCGAGGGGTTGAGAGAAGATTCAACTCAACGGTCACTCACCTCAACGGGGTCCATTTTCTTCTCCAATGCTTCTCCACCAGAAGCCCCGGACGCTCCACCATCCGGTCGATCTGAACCGTCAATTTCTGTTAGAGACGCTGCTGCTCCTTCTGTTGCCGTCTGCTCACGCACCTGCAAGCAACGGAGGAAAAGGAAACCCAGGATCCAGAAATAAGCAAGAGACAAATTACCTGCGAAAACCTGGTAAACCCCGAAAACCCCGCCTGGTAAAGCCCGAAACCCTTAGTGTGACTCCCGTCCACTGAACTGAAGCAACGCCAAGCATTCATATGTGACCAGCGCAACGCATCAGCGGTCCAGTAGCCGGCTGGCGACGCGAGGGTTTCTAGAAACGTCAAAATGGCTACCACTGATGCGTTTTTGAGAAATCTAGAGCGCGATACGAGGTGCACGTTCTAGAAGAGCACGGGTACTGTAACGAGGAGCTCCTTGAACGCGTCGTTGTTTTTCTACTTTTGAGACGCCTCTAAAATCGCAGCTACTGTTAATGGTAAGAACATTGAACGCGTCGTTGTTTTTCTACTTTTGAGGCGCCTCAAAAGTCGCATCGCAGCTACTACTGTTAACGAGGAGCACCTTGAACACGTCGATGTCCTTCTTGAAACGCTTTCTGTTGATGCTCGTTCCCGCGAACAGAAGCCTCTCGACGTCCATGGCGACTTGCGACAGCCGACGAGCGGCTGTGCGACGAAGTGAACGCAGGGCGACGAAGTGACGGGCGCCGTCGGGAGCGGGCTCGCTTGCGTGAAAACCCTCCAACAAGCGTCCGCGAGTCTGTTCCGCAAGTAAGACGACTGAATGAGGAGCCTACTAGAAGAATCGAAGAGATTGCTGTCCGGGGATTGGAAAAGCGAACCTGGCGATGCTAGACTGTCGTTGTCAGAGAATGGTCGCCACGTTCGAAAAACAGGTATGCTGAAAAGAACGCTAGCAGACCGTCAGTACAAAAACTTCCGAGCGTATTAACTTGACGTAATGAGTAATGAGTAATAAATTTAACGGAAAACCGCATTACTATACCTGGTTTCGGACTCACCTTCTGCCGCGGATGAGCATATGGGAAGGAACGATGAGTACAGAAAGCAACTTGCAGATGGGAACGTCGGTTCGGTACTGTTCGGCACCAGATGAGTTCCCAAGGTTTCGCAAAAGATCGGCGAATCGCTTCGCTGAGGTTCCAGATTGTTCGTTCCCATGGGGAGTCTTGCAAGACTTGTTTGGTAACCAGTACACGTACATCGACTCTCGTCCAGTAAATTGTTGCCTCATGTCCAGAAAATTGAATCGCCTCATGTCCAGAAAATTGAATCGCACCTTTTCTCGAAGACCTTGCTCCCTCACTTGGCCTCACTCGTCCTTGCTTCTGCAGATTAGGGTTGCACTTGGCCATGTCAGCAAAACTTGTTCCTGTGCTCCTTAGGGTGTGTCAGATCCGTTTCCGTACCAATCCGACCGGCTGGATTTCGCAAAAGTAACACATCCGCGAAACTCGCATGTATTTTCGTGTAGTTCGTCAAATGCGGCCACTTTTTACAAATTAGGTGGCCGATTTAAAAGGGCGACATACATCCGACGTGCGGTCGAATCGAAAGTCGACCACGTTGTCGACCACCAAGCGACGCCGCATCGTCGTACATACAAATCGTTCACCAATCCGGAAGGTCGTGACACTGTACTGTTTAGCTATGCGACTCCGTCGCAAATCCGGCCCCCAAACACCCTGCAAATCAGACACTTACGGTAAAGCGGCCTGCAAATCTGCCCCCGAAGATGTCAAATCGCTTTACTGGCCGAAATGGGGTTGAAGTCTGGTCGAACTGCAAATCGGCCAGGAAGTCGGAGTTCGCGAAAGCTGTAGTCGACCAAAAGGTCGTCTAAAAAGCAGCCAAATCAGCTGTTAGTGGATCTGACACACCCTTACCCGATTAGACATCAGGATTCAGAATCCTTCACCTCCTACCATAGAAAACCCTTTTTTTGTGCATGTATCCTCGTTGCTTAGCGCACTGATGTAGCGATTTCGTCGGTATCAAGCCAGTAGTAGGTCAGTATCCAGTTAGTAAGGTAGCATGCACCGTTTCTGATCTAGTGTTGCAGGGGTTTTCCTGCAGGCATGTCCCTTAGCCTCTTGTTGCCTCTAAGGCTCCTTTCTCTACCACGTGTCGCTCTATCAAGCCCAGTCTTCCGCAATCTACGCTTCACGCTCCAACCCATCGCACGTCCTTCCGCTCTCTCTCACACCGCTCTTATCCTGCCGTACGGTCCCTCCCTTAGCGGCCGCGCCGAATCCGTAACTGCATCGATTAGCAAAAAATTACCAGCTGTTTTTCGCGATTCGACCGACCATAGCTATCGTGAACTAGGACCGCAAGGGGCTTGCCGGACCGCCAGATTTAACTCTCCAGGAAACGGTTCTCCGGCCGTTTTTTCGGAATCAGCCGCTTACTCGAATCCGGCAGTTTCCTCGAAATTCCGAGCCTGTGCGGTTTCGCAGAATCTATCGCAAAGAACGTCAGGCGCGGAGGACGCACGGAACGCGTCCACGTGGCCGAGGCATCAAATAGAGCGCTCCGCGAACGACGGCGGTATTTCTGCAACAGCTCCGTCACCATCAGGAACTTCAGAGATCGCGGAGCCGTTTTCTTCGAGAATGTCGACAGAGAACGAGGTGTACGTGTTCGTTAAGGGATCTAGCGACGCGAAAAGTCTCTTATCGGGGATAAAGCTTGCCGAGGACAGCGGAGGAGTGGTGCTGAGAAGCGACGCGGAAGTCTCTTTTGCCAAGGATGTAGTCGGATTTGATGTGGATATGTATTTCAGTGCTCTGTCGACTGACGGACTTGGACGGACGTTGCTGGCCAGCAAACGACTTTCGTCAACTCACACCCTTGTATCAAAGTAAGCAGCTAGAGTAGGCCAGGATAGAACGAGGGGTGGGGTGGGGAGGGTAAGGGTATGGGATAGATGGTAGAGTGTTAGGAAAGGGAGAGGGGGTGGACGAGGGATGGATGCAAGGGGGATTGATGGAAAAGGGATGGATGGGTCTGGGGGGCGGCAGGAATGGATGGGAAGGTGCTGGTGGGGAGGGAAGCGGAATAAAAAGGAGGAGGAATAATGGGAAAGAGTGAAGGGAACTTGGGGCAAGTTTGTTGGAGAGGTTTGTACTGTGTGCTTGATGTTGATATTCATGCTGTGTTGGACGAGGGAGGGAGAGTGAAGGCCGTGTGTGACTAGTAGGGGAAGAATTGTGTCATTGCGCAGTCTCCTCAAGGCGTGCGCCTTTGTGCTGCTGTGCTGCATGGTGGTGAATGGCACATAGTGCTATGTGTTGCTTTGTTCTTCATGCATGCATGGCATGTGCTGTTCTGTGCTTTTGATCCATGCATGGCATGTGCTGCGCTATGTTGAAGCATGCATGATATGAAGCATGCATGTCACGATGCACCATGCTGCCATGCGCCATGCTGCATGCATGATGCCTGATTGTTGGTTTTTCTTTTCAGGAGCTTCGAAACCCTCCCCATAGGCACCGTCTGCATCTCTCGTATTCAGTACAGCGGACGAGGTGCTTTCCTCATCCCACTCTCCCTCATAACCTTCCTCTTCTTCTCCCTCTCCATATCTTTCTCGTTCTCCATCTTCGTCTTTCCAACAATTTGTGCCTCTCCATTCATCTAACATGCTAGAATGTCTCACCTTTCGCCCCAAAATTTATCTTGCACGCTTATATTTTCCCTCCTCGTGTCCCTCTATTTATCTTTTCACCCAAGAAATGCTCCACCTCTCGCTCCTCCATTCATCTTACGTCCTTTTTGTTTCATTGCCTGTTTTGCCCCCCTTCCTACCCGCCCATCCCTCCTTCTCCCCGCCCTCTCTTTCCCTCTCCACCTGCCCCCGCCCTTGATTTTTATCTCTCGCTGACTGATCCTACCACACCTGGCAGGCCGCGGGGGCAACACGTGGGAGAGCCCTGAGGGTTGCCTCATGTTCTCGCTCTCGCTACGATGGGTTGACGGGCGCACACTGCCTCTGCTGCAGTATGTGTTGTCGCTGGCAGTGGTGCAAGCGATTGAAGACATGGCCAAGGAGAGAGGGGTGAGTGACCTGCTGCTGCTGCTGCCGCTGCTGCTCCTGCCGCCGCTGCTCCTGCCGCCGCTGCTCCTGCCGCTGCTGCTTCTGCTGCTGCTGCTGCTGCTGCTGCTGCTGCTGCTGCTGCTGCTGCTGCTGCTGCTGCTGCTGCTGCTGCTGCTGCTGCTCCTCCTCCTGCTGCTGCTGCTCCTGCTGCTGCTGCTGCTACCGCTGCTCCTGCCGCTGCCGCTGTTTCTGCTCAAGTGGCCCGAGCCCAACGAATTCACGTAGATCCTCTCACCCTCCTTCCCTCTGTCTGTCCCCTCCTCTGTCTCAACAGACCTCCCTCCCCCAGGTGGCCCTCAAGTGGCCCAACGACATATTTCTGGGCGGGCTGAAGGTGGGAGGCGTGCTCTGCACTTCATCCTACCGCAACAGGGCATTTGACGTCACTGTGGGTGAGTGGAGTGAGTGGGTGAGGGAGTGGGGGGTTCAGTGGGTGAGTGGGTGGGCAATTGAGTTGAATGGGCGGGCAGAAGGTGGGAGGCGTGCTCTGCACGTCATCCTACCGCAATAGGGCATTTGACGTCACTGTGGGTGAGTGGAGTGAGTGGATGAGGGAGTGGGGGATTGAGTGGGTGGGTGAGTGGGTGGGTGGGTGGGTGGAAGTGAGTGAGTGGGTAGGAGTGAGTGAGTGGCGTTAGGCACCTCAAAAGGCGGGCTGAAGGTAGACGGCGTGCTCTGCACGTCGTCGTACCGCAACAGGGCGTTTGACGTCACTGTGGGTGAGTGGAGTGAGTGGGTGAGTGGGTGGGTGGGTGGGTGGGTGGGTGGGTGGGTGGGAGTGAGTGAGTGGCGTTAGGCACCTCAAAAGGGGCAGGAGGTGGGTGGCGTGCTCTGTACCTCATCCTACCGCAACAATGCGTTTGACGTCACTGTGGGTGAGTGGAGGGAGTGGGTGAGTGGAGGGAGTGGGTGAGTGGAGGGAGTGGGTGAGTGGAGGGAGTGGGTGAGTGGGTGAGTGCAGTGAATGAATGGGTGAGAGAGTGGGTGAGTGAGTGAATGAGTGAGTGGGTGAGTCAGTGAGTGAGTTTAAGTGAGGTTTGTTAAGTGCTGGTCTTAAGTTTTTCAGGGAAAGGGAGGAAATGGGTTGTCCATCAGACGCGGACACCAGACCTTTTGGGAAACGAAATTCTTAGCTAAAAGCCGCCTGCCCCTCGCCCCGTGTTCCTCACTCCCCCCTCCCACCCTCCCCCCCCTCCCCCCTCCTCCCTCACAACTTCCCCATGTTGCACCAGGCATAGGTCTGAATGTGGACAACGCCCATCCCACCACGTGCATCAACGCTGCTCTGCACGCCGCCTGTCCCCCCGCCCCGTATTCCTCCCTCCCCACTCCCCCCTCCCTCGCTCCACGGTCCACCAGGCATAGGTCTGAACGTGGACAACGCCCATCCCACCACGTGCATCAACGCTGCTCTGCAAGCTGCCTGCTCTGTCCCTTGTTCCTCCCTCCCCCTTCCACTCTCTCCCTCCCCCACTCCACCCCTCCCCCCGTTTAAACACCTGTCACAGGCATAGGTCTAAACGTGGACAACGCCCATCCCACCACGTGCATCAACACTGCTTTGTCCGCTCTGCAAGCAAGGCGCCTGTCCCTCCGCCCCTTATTCCTCCCTCCCCCCTCCCATCCCACCTCTTGTCCTGTGTTCCACTAGGCATAGGGCTGAACGTGGACAACGCCCATCCCACCACGTGCATCAACGCTGCTCTGCAAGCCGCCTGCCCCTCCGCCGCGCCCATCCCTCGCGAGCTCCTCCTGGCGGCCGTGCTGAACCGCCTGCACTCGCTGTTGCTCGTGTTTGAGCCACAAGGTGGGACGGGGAGGAGGGGCGGGGGGGAATGGAATGGGGGGTGGGGGGGGGAGGGGTGGGGAGGGTGAGGGAGGGAGGGGGTTTGATTTGAGGCGCCTCAGATTTCGGCTGTCTCCCTCGCGAGCTCCAGCTGGCAGCTGTACTGAACCTCCTGCACTCTCTGCTGCTGCTGCTGCTGCTGCTGCTGCTGCTGCTGCTGCTGCTGCTGCTGCTCGTATTTGAACGTGAAGGTGTGAGAGCATGAGAGGGCGATCAGCTAGGTGTGAGTGCGCGAGGGCAAACAAGGTGTGCGCAGACAAACAGCAAGTAGAGCTGAGCTGATATTGGGAGTCCTTCTTGCTTCAACATTTGATGCTCACATTTGTTTCGATTCCTGGCGGAACATCATGCGTTCTTGCTTGTTCGCCTCCCCACAGCTCCTTTTTCTCTCTGTCTCCCTCCCCTACTCTCCTTCCCCGCTCTCCTCCCCTGATCTCCTTTTCCCGATTTCCCTCCCTCGATCACATCCCTTGCTCTTCGTAACTGCCTCCAGCCCGCTCTCCCTCTCTCCCTGTCTGCTTCCCAACCTAACTCCTCCCTGCTCTCTCCCCTCTCCTCTCTGCCAGGCTTCAAGCCTCTGGAAGCTGATTATCTTCAACGCTGGCTGCACAGGTACCTTGTACCGTCCCTTCCATGACTTTTTCTGCCCCTCCTCCGCTCTCTCTGCTGTCATCTCTCACTCCTCCCCTCCCTCTCTCCCCATCGCCCCCAACCCTCCCCTCCCTCCCCCTCCCTCCCCCCCCCCGCTTACACTCTCCCAACCCCTCTTTTCTCCCCGCTTGCATTTCTAATGTTTTTATTCCTTTTTGAAATCTTTCAAAAGTAATGCTCTTGTTTCCGTTGTGGCAGCTGTCTATGCCAATGTCCTTCGATTTGCCCGATCGCTGCAACTCTTGCCCTCCCACACCAATCCTTTGAACGTCTCTGCAAGTCTAACCCCAATTCATCTTGTCCCCCCAACCCTTACCCCTCTTTCCGCCTTTCCTTTACCCTCTCCGTCCACCCCCTCTTTCGCCCCCTCCCTCGTCCCCCGTCTCTCCCCCCACTGCCCTCGTCCCCGCTGCCCTCGTCCCCCCTGTCCTCGCCCTCGCTGCCCTCGTCCTCCCTCCCAGTGAGTGTTTTTTGAGAATTCTAAAAAAACCCTCGTCCCCCCTGTCCTCGCCCTCGCTGCCCTCGTCCTCCGTCCCAGTGGGCAGCACGTGGTGCTGGAGGAGCCTAAAGAGGGAGGAGGCTCCACCCAGGTCTCCCTCACCATTCAGGTGTGGGTCGGGTTCAAGTGTGGGTTCAGGTGTGGGTTCAGGTGTGGGTTCAGGTGTGGGTTGGGTTCAGGTGTGGGTTCAGGTATGGGTTCAGGTGTGGGTTCAGGTGTGGGTTCAGTTTTGGGTTCAGAAGGGGGTTCAGGGGAGGGGGGGAGAGGGGAGGGAGACGGGGGGGAGGAGATTATGTGGGAGCTCAAGGGTTCAGGTGGGTTTGGAATGGGGCCAAGTGTGGGTAGGTGTGGTTTCAGGGTCACAAATTCATGCCATTGCCGCTTGTCTCCCTTCACCCTGCTTCTTACCCCATCTACCCTTTCTCCTTCCGCTTTCCATTGCCACTTCCGTTACCTGTTCAGTGCACTACCACTTAACCGTGTGCACACTGAAACTTGCTCGTTTGTCCATCCGTCTCACACACACACACACACACGCACGCACACACAGACATGGCTGCACACACTTACACACAAGCAACTTCAAGCTTGCAATTCGTTGCAATTTTTGTCACCCTATCTGAATCCGCACCTTTCTCAACTTGCCTCTTGTGTCATCTCCCCTTCTAATCTCCTCTCGCCTCCCCCCTCGTCTCTCCCCTCGTCTCTCCCCTCACCTCTTCCCTCGCCTCTCCCTTTGCTGCTTTCCCTGTGCCTCCTCTTCTTCTCAGGGTCTCACTACGGGTGGTTACCTTCTCGCAACTGATCCTTCGGGGGTACAATACGAGCTTTCCCCAGATGGCAACAGGTTCGTGACTATACAGGGGATGAAGTAGCGTGACTATACAGGTTGGTGTCTCCGATCACATGAAATCACTTTCATCTATTTCAATTGCAGCCTTTGGTTGAAAATCCGTACTTCCTTCCCCCCCTTCCTCCCTTTCCCCCCCTTCCCCCCCTTCCCTTCCTTTCCCCCCCTTCCCTTCCTTTCCCCCCCTTCCCTTCCTTCCCCCCCTTCCTCCCCCCCTTCCCTTCCTTCCCTTCTTTCCCCTCCTTCCTTTCATTCCGCTCCTTCTCCTGCTGCCCCTACTTAACCCCACGTGCTCACTGGTGTGCGTGGTCTTTTCCCTTTGACCTCCGTACTGCTGCCATGTATACATGCTATGCTATGCTATGCTATGCTATGCTATGCTATGCTATGCTATGCTTGCGCTATCTGCCCTCTTGAGAAGAGGTCTAAGCATGTGTAGCAACGGCGGCATCACAGAAAAACGGCTGTCATGCCGCCCGATACTCTGCCCTCCGTCACACGTTCCTGTCACATCACTCTCCCTTTTGCTTTGCCCTCTCTCTGCGTCACCATCTCTCCTCCCCCCCCCCCCTCCCCCCCCCCCCCCACCAGCCTGGACTTTTTCAAAGGGCTCATGCGCCGAAAGCTGAACCCAGAGGAGCAGGTGGCAGGGAGGCACTGATGGGTTGTCACTGCTCTCTCTCATGCCCTCCCTGCATCACCCACTCACACCTCGCCCCCTCCTCCCCCCTCCTCCCCCCTCCTCCAGTCTGGACTTTTGCAAGGGCTTCATGCGCCGAAAGCTGATGCCACAGGAGCAGGTGGCAGGGGGCATTGACTGACCACCATCGTCATCTCAACTCTTCTCACATCACCCTCTCTTTCCATGACCCTCACACCTCGCCCCCTCCCCCCTTCCCCCCCCCCCACCAGTCTGGATTTTTTCAAAGGGCTCATGCGCCGAAAGCTGAATCCAGAGGAGCAGGTGGCAGGGGGGCACTGACTGACCATCACTCTCAGTCCGCTGCTTCCTGGATCCTCGCCAGGTGATGCTCCGTTCGTCTCAGAACCCTCCACCAACCTCTCTTTCTCTTTCCCCCACCCCTTCCCCCCCCCCCCCCCCCCTTCTCTCTCTCTGCTCCGCTCCCCTTTCCCCTTCCCACCTGCCGTCGTTTGCCCTTTCTCCCCTGCCACTGTTCCACGTGCTCCTGCTCCTCCCCCACCTCTCTCCCTCTCTGCCCCCCTCCCCTCCTGTCTGCCCTCCGCCCCTCGTCTCTCCTACCTCCTCCTCCCCTCTGTAGAGCCTGGCCGCTAGGATCTCACTCCGTCACCCCTGCCCCCTCACATGGTAAGGCTCTTCTTTCACCTTTGGTCTCCTTGCCATACCATGCCTTCCCTTCCCATGTCATGCCTTCGCATGCCATGTCTTCTCATGCCATGCCTTGCCATGCCATGCCTTGCCACGCCATGGCATGCCATACCTAGTCTGGCAGCTACGTCTGTCGCATTATATTCGCTGCGGTCTTGATGACCATAAATTGAAAAGCCCTTTGCTGCAACCTCTGCTTCACTCGCACTGCTCACATCATCACCCCCATCATTTTTCTCACTTGCATTGCTTGCATCGTCCCTGCGGTCGACCCCACCACTTCATCTTTTGCATTGCAGGTGCACATGATGGGGTTGCTGCCACCAGCCCTACAGTGTACTACCGCCAGTTGCTGCGAGCGATCAGGGCATGTACAGCGAATCCGGACACACTTGATGGTTCGTCTGTACAAGCAGCGAATCCGGACACAGACCCACAACCACCCTGCCCATCTGATGGTTCGTCTGAACAAACAGCGAATCTGGGCATGATCCCCCAACCACCCTTCCCATCTGCTGGTCTACCATCCTCCTCTTCCTCTATTCCCCTCCAAGCCCATCCCTCCAAACCCACCGGTGGGGAATTCTATTCCAAGGCAAAAGCACCAGGTGGGTTAGGCAAAACCAGGACCACTAGGGCTGGTCCTGCTAGCAATAGGGCTACGAATGAGTCTCAGGGTGAGGCCCAGCGGTTTTACAGCGATCCACTACAAGCAAAACTCGTTAGCAACGTTAGGGAGGTGTTTTGTCACGGGGACAACTTGGGACTGACAGAGCCAGAGCGAAGAGCAGCTGTGGCTGCTGCTGCTAGGGTGATAAAGTTCTTGCGAATAGTCAGAGGACTTTAACTCAGGTACTTTATCGTGTTTCACATAGACATCTGTTAAGAAACAGCAGGTGTGAAATGAAGCATTTCTGTACCTGGAAAGTGCATCAGTGTCACCCAGACTAACTGCTGCTGATACTCTTGGTAGCTTAGGCCACGGGGGGATTCAAAACACGGCATTGAACTTCAATACCAGATCCTTTCTCATTCTTAGGGGGGGGAAATAACCCTCGTGCACAGTTCTCTAGGGGTGACCCATTGCACTGATCTGGAGTGCAGTGCTTGCTGCACAAATACCACGAGCATCTGGCTATTTCCGATTTCACAAGTCGGCTGGTCCTGACTCCTGAATCCTGATGTGCTAAACGATTCAAATTTACTAATGCGCACAGTTCAATCTGCGGCTATCACAGCGAGCTTTGTCTAGAGGTGTTGCAGTGCACCCTTGAACCAGCGTCCTTGTTAGAATGTCAAGCAAGGATGCTTCCAATCACCGTAGTGGCTGTTAGGAGTCCCCCCCCCAGGGCTGACGATATCAGACTATTTTAGTCTGATTGTCTGAAATTTCAGACTATTTTCCTGACATTCCTGATTTTTCAGAGTTGGCTGGTTTTGAAAAATGAGTGCTTCAGACTAATGGTTTTTTCGATACTGAAAAATTCAGAGAAATTGCTTACCGGATAATGAGTTTTCATACTACAGAGTACGAACTCCCCTTCGCCATACCTGTTACTTCGAGGAAAACCCATCCCTCCGAACTTGTGCAAAAGGTTCGTTAATAGGAAAACCTGCCTTAGTATTATAAATTTTAAACACACATTGTGTTTTTTAAATTGTGTATTGTGAAAGCGAAGCTGCTTGTACTGCACATTTGGCATCGTCGAAGCGCGCTAAACGCCCTTCTCCAACTACAAAAACCGTGGGTTGGAGCTCATTTCCCTCCACCCACGTTTCTCTATTTCCAACGGCTCACTCAACTTTCCCGCTCGAGTAGTTTTTTCCTCCGTCCAAACTGGCTAGAACCAAAACGCTTCCTCGAGGCGTTTCACCCTCGACTTTACTCAGCGATATTTTTAACTTCAATCGCTCAACGATGGCACCTACGCCGGCACTTAACAACGACAACTCGGCCAACCCCGCTTCCGACTCCGACCGTAACGCCCGCGATTTTGCGGGCGATCGACGTAACAAGCGTCGGGCAGAAGATGGACCTTCCGCCCCGACTGGAGTGGACGTGCTGCTGGGCGGGCTTGATGCCCAGCACCCTTCGGCGAATGTGGCGCCAGTGGCGCCTGTGGCACCAGTGGCGCCAGTGGCAGCGGCGGCTGGCGCGACACACGCGACTGACGCGGGGCACACGCCAGCACCCGCGGCTGGACCGTCGCGTCAGCGCCAGAGGCGACGACCGGCGGTCTCCTCGTCTGACGCGACGGCGACCCCTACGCTGACGCAGGCGTTGACCCCGGACCAGGTCAACGCGCTGCTGTCCCTTCTACAGCAGCAGCCCGTCAGCGTTACAGCCGCGGAAACTGCACTACCTGCTGCATCTGCGTCTGCTAAAAACGAAACTGCAAAAAAGGAAAAAGGAGTGCGAGAAGCAAGGACGAATCGGCGCAACAACGACGCAGCGACCGGCGCTCCCCCTGCTCCAGCGGTCGACAACGACACCGACGACTCCGAAGATGACGCCGGTGAGGCTCCAGTCGACAATACTAATTTTATTGGCACGGAAAATCTCCCCCCCCTCCCTTCTTCTAACCTCACTTTTTCGGCGACGACATTCGTCAACGACTCCGTGCGAGAGCAAGCGGAGCTGCTGGAGGACTTGCGCGCGTACCTGCTGCACGCGGAATACAAGGCGCAGCGCGGCGACTCGGCAGGCGGACTCGAACTCATCTCACACGCCCTCAACCTCATCGCGGGGCGTTTCGAGGTGCTTCAAGTGGAGGACGCCTCCGACTTCCGCACGGCGAAGCGCTTCAAGCTGTACCAGCAGAAGAGCCTGCTGACCTCTCGACCCTTCAAGCAGGCGGTCGCGGACATGGCTGCGATGGACCGCGCCGCAAGCGTATACGCTCGCGTCAACCGCGGCGGAAGCAACGCGCCGATGCCGTTCATTCCCAAGCGGGGTCCCCCACCCACGGCCAATTGTCGTGGGTTTCGGGGCTCGTGCTTCCGCTGCGGCCAGCCGGGCCATGTGGCAAGTGCCTGCCCTAGGAACGGGCATGGTGGCCAAGGTCCCGCTCCGGTAGTGTAGGAGCGGACCATGGGAAATGCGCTCGGAGCGCAAGGCACGGTGCACTCTAGAGTGCGGAAACCGTGGGCAGCCCTAGGGGTTTGCGATGGCAAGAGGCCAGCCCTAGACAAGGGTAGAGTAGGCCTTGGGCCTAGGTTAGGGAAGGGGAACATCAACCCCTCGGTCCCATGTATTGGCCACTAGGTGGCGTATGCATGCTAGGAAAGCATTGCTATGTGTGTCGGGTCGATTTAATAAAACATTATTCCTAAAGGCCCTCTGATTTTGGCAAGTGACACTCTAAGAAACAAAGAAATGGTGCAGAGCAAGAGAGAAAGAGAATCAGAGAGAAAGAGAGAGAGAGAGAGAGAGAGAGAGAGAGAGAGAGAGAGAGAGAGAGAGAGAGAGAGAGAGAGAGAGAGAGAGGGCATGGACAGCCGCATCCAATCGTGTGTGGACCGTGGGGCGAGCCGGTCGGTGCTCGGCACACTCGTTGACATAGCAATTCATTATCAATTCTGTCCACACCGTTTACAAGTGATCTCAAGCACGTGCACACATGCAACACACGTATTTTTAAATAAAAAAGTGCAACCCTTGTCCCATGCCACGAACACACAGGAGCGTGGCAATACGAGGCGGCATGCGGCGACGACCCATACGAATTTGCCATAACGGACAAAACCGTTACACATATGCGCGGTCGGCTTCGCGCGACCTTTGCATGGTGGAGCTCATGGTGCTCGAGTAGCCTTGTCCTCTCCGTCATAGCCAAAGGCTATTGGTTGCCATGGAGCCACGGCCCACCGCAACCCTTCCACGATCGCAACCATGTCGGGGCGAACACGCATGCCACATTCACACGTACTGCCGT